CAAGAGAGACCAGAGAGACCAGAGAGACCAGAGAGACCAGAGAGACCAGAGAGACCAGCGAGACCAAAGACCAGAGAGACCACACAGCAGAGAGACCAGAGAGACCAAAGAGACCAGAGAGACCAGAGGGACCAGAGACCAGAGAGACCAGAGAGACCAGAGAGACCAGAGAGACCAGAGAGACCAGAGAGACCAGAGAGACCAGAGAGACCAGAGAGACCAGAGAGACCAGAGACCAGAGACAGGGATCTTTCTCACACCAAAGATGACATGTGTTTTAATAAAATGTTACTTTTCTCTGTCACGGGACAAACATGTATAATTTATGAAAGGGAAAGTCAGGTACCCCAGCTTTTCTTCTGCCTGGATGATTTGGCCCACACTGACATTTTGGCCCAAATGAAACAAGATCTTACTGTGATCTGCCAGTCTCTTTATTGTTTTTATGTCACCTATTTTTATACAACTGAAAGTCTGAGAAACTGCTAGAAAGACAAACGGGCAAAACCTTCAGTCTCTAGATGTGCAAAGCTGGTGGAGGTAGACTCTTAAAGACTTCTGCCGCACACACTTCACACTTGCCTTTTACATTGACTTTGACGTGTGTTATTGTATGTAACTGTGTGTAACTTTTCCCTTAAAAAATAGATCTGAATGGGACTTTTCTGGTAAAAACAGTAAATAAAAATAAAACGCAGAACAAAGTCTTTAGCCCCATTTCCACAGAGACCAGAGAGACCAGACACCAGAGAGACCACACAGCAGAGAGACCAGAGAGACCAAAGACCAGAGACACCAGAGACCAGCAAGACCACAGAGACCAGAGACCAGAGACACCACACAGCAGAGAGACTGGAGAAACCAGAGACCAGAACAAAGTCTTTAGCCCCATTTCCACCAGCCCTATACCTGATTCTGTTTCTTTTACACTTTAGTATCTGTTACTGTATCCTAGCAACCAATCCCTGTCAGTTAAAACACTTTAGCACCAGCTCAGTCTGGATAGAACTAGGCGCAAGAGGGACTAAAGGACCAGTGGAAACCCTCCCAATCGGGGGAGAGTAGAGCCGAGTAGAGTAGAGAAGAGAAGAGATGAGACAAGTAGAGTAGAGTAGAAACAAGTAGATTAGAGTAGAGTAGAGACAAGTAGATTAGAGTAGAGTAGAGACAAGTAGATTAGAGGTGAGTAGAGAAGAGACGAGTTGAGTAGAGACAGGTAGAGTAGAGTAAGGTTAGTAAATATGGTACTCTTGTTTTTTTCCCTTAAAGAAACCAGAATAAGTAAACGTTTTTTCTGTGTTTATTTCCGTCCCAAACATTAAACATGGAGGATATTTAGATTTGCCAAAACGTTCATTACGAGACACAACCAAACCGGCCTCTCTGGTCCCGCCTCTTCTAGCCGCTCGCTCCCATTGGCCGCCGCAGGACGTGGGAGAGGGGAGAGGCCGCGGCATAAAAAAGCGCATACCTTCTAGAGTGGCTTTGGCGCGCGGCCTAAAACAACACGCCCGCCTTTCCCAGAGCGACGCAACATCACTGCGGTAAACGGAGATCCTTCACATTCCTGGGAAAAAATGGCCAAACGTGTGATCGAGAAGTCTGAGTCTGGTAAGAGGTTCGTTCTCATGCATTTTTGGAGTATCTCGGGGGGGGGGGGGGGGGGGGGGGGGGGGGGGGGGGAAACACTGGGCAGGTTGGAGAAGTCAAAGAAAAGCAGAGATGATTACTACAACGTTAGGGATTTGATAAGGGAAGCAAGGGGCCAGAGTACCACAACAGAGAGGGAGGAGAGAGTGAGAGAGAGAGAGAGAGAGAGAGAGAGAGAGGACAGAGAGAGACCAGAAAGAGTTGAGAGAGAAAGGAAGCAGAGAGACCAGGGAGAAGGAACTCAGAGAGAACAGAGAGAGACCAGAGAGAGAGAGAGAGCAGAAAGAGAGAGAGAGAGAGAGAGCAGAGAGAGAGAGAGAGAGAAAGAGAGAGAGAGCAGAAAGAGAGGCTGAGGCTCGAGGCTGGCAGGCACTCGGTCTTTCAGTCTGAACCTGCGCATTCAGCTTCATTTTTATTAGTTCTGTTTCATGTAACGTCCTGTATCTTTGATCTTATTTAATGACATGTTTTCATCGACCTTTATAATAACTATAACAACTATAATTTATAATAAATGTATCAAACCCTCTCTTGAGATCTTTGAGGTTTTCTATCGAACTCCAAAGGTTTTCACACCTTCCTTTTGCTTCGATTTCACAGTTCTTTGACTTTTCACAAACGCACTTCTTCAGTGCCTTCTCTGTGTTTCAGATTTATATCAGATTTGTTCAGATGTTGAGTTCTAAAAACATTTGTTTATTTAGTGGAATAACTTTGGGAATTAACTGTAGATGAACTGTTAAACTCTGGCACCTCTCGCTTTTTGAATGTTCTGGACCCCATCGCTCCTGTGAAGGTTAAAATGGTGATAAATAAGCAGAAAGTGCTGTGTGCTAAAGCAGACTCGGTCAGGGCACAGAAGAGAGAGTGCCGGAGGGCCGAGCAGAAGTGGCCCAAGTCCAACCTCCAGGTTGATTACAAGATCTTCAAAGATAAGTTGTTCGAGTTTAATCGAGTGCTACGTAGTACGAGGGAAAGGTATTTTCTGAAACGATTGAAGGCTGCAGCAACAATCTGCGTGTGCTGTTTTCAGCTGTTTATAGATTAACAAACCCCCCTGTTCAGCTGCTCTTAGAGCTAACTTCCAAACGTAAATAGACTAGAGGAGTGGGTGGATGTCGCTGGCACCGTCCTAAGTTGGTTTAGGTCTTACCTTGAGGACAGGAAGTACTTTGTGGAGATTGGAAACTGTGTCTCAGATCATATGGCCCTGACCTGTGGAGTACCACAGGGGTCGATCCTGGGACCTCTTCTGTTCAATCTCTACATGCTGCCGTTAGGTCAGTTAATACGCAGAAACTAAGTTTCCTATCATAACTATGCAGACGACACTCAGATCTATGTCTCACTGACTGCAGGAGAACATGGACCAGTGGACTCACTCCTTCACTGTATCCAACAGATCAGTGAGTGGATGCAAAACAACTTCCTTCAGCTAAACGCAGACAAAACTGAAATGATTGTCTTTGGTCCCCAGAAACAAAGAGAGAGCGTCATCTGTCATCTACAGTCTCTCTCCCTAAAACCTTCAAACAAGGTCAGAAATCTAGGGGTAATACTGGACTCAGACTTAAATTTTAATAGCCACATCAAATCAGTAACATCAGCAGCTTTTTACCATCTAAAAAACATTGCCAGGATCAAAAACATAGTGTCTAAAGCAGACTTGGAGATTCTTATCCATGCATTTGTCTCCAGTAGGTTAGACTACTGCAATGGCCTGCTCACAGGTCTGTCCAAACAGGCTGTAAAACAGCTGCAGTACATTCAAAATGCAGCAGCTCGAGTCCTGACTAGAACCAGGAAGTACGACCATATTAGTCCTGACTAGACTTGGGCGGCACGGTGGCTGAGTGGATAGCACTCTCGCCTCTCAGCAAGAAGGTCCTGGGTTCGAATCCCGGCCGGACCAGGGCCTTTCTGAGTGGAGTTTGCATGTTCTCCCCGTGTCTGCGTAGGTTTCCTCCGGGTACTCCGGTTTCCCCTACCACTAAATATATGTACAATAGGTCTGGCATGCGCCTCCTGTTCGGCGGCCCCGCTCCCATCTCTGTGTGGAGTGAGAGACAAGTGCCCAAAAAAATAACAATTGTAAACCAAAGTAAACCGCTTTGTGACTCTGGTCTGTGAAAGGCGGTATATAAATAAAGCTTACTTACTTACTTACTTAGAACCAGGAAGTACGACCACATTAGTCCAGTTCTCAGGTCTCTGCACTGGCTTCCTGTGGCTCAGAGAATAGACTTTAAAACAGCTCTGCTTGTGTACAAGTCTCTCCATAGCCTCGCACCAAAATATATTAGTGACATGTTAGTCCCATATGAACCAGCCCGGACTCTGAGGAGCACAGGGACTGGACTCCTGTTAGTGCCCAAAGTCAGAACTAAACATGGGGCGGCTGCTTTTCAGATTCATGCTGCTAAAATCTGGAACAGTCTTCCTGAAGATGTGAGACAGACCTCCTCTCTGAGAATGTTTAAAACCAGGTTAAAGACAGTTCTGTTTAGCTGTGCACACAACTGAGGGATTTATATGTTTATCTTTCTTTTTAATGTTCTGTGATTATTTATGATTTTAAAACTTTAAAATATTATTTTACACTTTGAGTTTCCTTGTGTATGAATTGTGCTATACAAATAAACTTGCCTTGTCTTTCTTTATTGCATCGCAAACGTCCGGGCAACCTCACATTTTTTCATCGGCCATTTCTGTTGCTTGTGTTAAAGGGGAAGACTTAGACATAATTTAGACTTATTTAGACTGACTTAGACGTTCTTTCTAAAAAATACTTTATTTTTGTGTTTTTGTTTTGTTTGTATAGTTCAAAGTGTCAAACCAAATTTTCACACACACACACACACACACAAACAAGGTCAAGTTTATTCATAAAGCACATTTGAAAGTGCTTTCCGGACATTACAAAATACAACACACAATAAAAATACAGCATAAAAATAAATTACAGGTCACCATCATAAATGTTTCAATAATGCTTGCGTGTGCACACCCCTACACACAAACACAAACGCACACACGCACACACACACACACTCAGTACAGCTACATGCCTCCGAGTTAAAAAAAATAGTCACTAAATATTTAAAATTCTCACTATTTCTGTTCATTTTTCTCCTGCTGAAATTGGGGCAGAATTCACAAAAGGCAAAGTGTATTATCTCACTCCCGCTCTCTATAAACCTAAATATTTCCACAAACGAAAATAAAGGCATCGCAAATCCAAGTCTGACCAAGAGGGGATGAGCGAATCTTCAACGCGGGCAAACAGCCACGTAAACCCTGGTGCTGGTGCCAGAGATACAGGACTGGAAGAGCCACAAATCCACCCAATGTTACTGGATTTTTTTCTTGTTCCGGGGGTTGACAGTCACCGCGGCCCCCATCGCGGTGGTCCCCAGTGTTCCCCCTTCCCCGTCTCGCCCCTTTTCTTCTCCGATTCTTGGAAGGAGATCCAGACTGGGGCTTATCCTTTCCGTTTTCAGGTGCGCCTTCGATAGCGTCGGGCGTGAGAGAGAACCCCCTCGGAGACTTTCCAGCGAGACTCGAAAGGATTTACGGCAAGATCGCTGGTGCTTTGTGCGTATTTTTGTGAGCTGCGTCGCAATGTCGCCCAGTGGAAATACAGGTGGTACGTTCGGAACCCCCATGTGCGCGTTTGTCGGCCTGTACATTTGGGGTTTCCACGCGCTACGGCCGGCGTTGGCGTATATTTTTTTGCCAAACCCCAAAAACACTGCATTGTGTGTCGATTTCGCTCGTGACCGCGATCCCAAGAACGCTTCCACAACTATCCAAAGCCGTAATCTTAGCGCTTAATACCGTGTCCCGAGTGCGCTCTGTTTTTGGTGAAATAAAAGCGGCGCGGCTAATCCTGGACTGGAGTTTGGACTTTGGGCAGAGAGAGACGCACTGACGCACTGGATATTTGCAAATCGATTTATTAGATTACGCTTTGAGCTGGTCTGTTTGTTAGTGACCCCTCCCCCGCGGCAACAGCAGCAGCCTTCAAAGCCATATTTTAAAGAAAACCCTTTTTCCAGATTATGGCGTACTTTATCGTGCAACAAGGGAGTCTAAATTCTGGCCCAGACTTCTGAAATCCTATTCCCATCACTGTTCTGTGTCTTCATCTCCTCAAGGACACAAGGCTGTAATGGACTGGTTTTGTATTGACCAGGACCCGCGCAAACCATAATGCAATACATCCGAGAAAGTGAAGACCGATTAGACTCTCCCGACTGCCTTTTAACCATATTTCATGTACTTGTTTACAATAACAATATTAATCTGTCTGAAATGGATCCAGTTGCGTCAGTCTTTGAAGGCCTCGGGGAGGGGTGGCTTGTCTCGCATGAAGAGTGGACTAGTTCTGGGCTCCAGACTTATCGCAGAGGAGATAGAGGGTCCTGTTGTGGGGTTCAGAGATGGACGAGCCCCCCCCCCGCGAGAGAGGACTTCAGAAGCACCGTGGATCAGCGCCTATCTGAAACCAGCGAGTGTTTGGAGAAACGCAGTAAGCCCCGGCAGGATGGGAGGGGTGGACATGGGAAGGCCAGACCTAAGTCATGTATTTACACATGTCTGTCTTTTGACTTTGTGTAAGTTTGTCAAGAAGATTGTTGCAAGGAAAAATAGAAATGCATAAGAGATCAAGGCTTGTCCTGGGTTTGATTCCACCTCCAAGAAGGAGTTTGGCGTTTGCATGTTCTCCCCGTGTCTGTATAGATTGCCTCTGAGTGCTTTGTTTTTCTCCTTGGAGTTACATGGACAGTAGGTCTGAATGTGGTGAGAGAGAGAAGGAATGGGGATGACTGGGTTCATGATTCATGCAGCTATAATCTAGAGCAGTCTTCTTGAAAATGTGAGACAGGCTTCTACTTTCTAATCCAGGTTAAAACAGTTCCGTGATTATATATGATTTTAATGCCTTGCTTGTTTTGTTCAGCACTTTCAGTTGCCTTCTTTATCAATGGTGTGCTCTACAATTAAACCTACCATGTCTTGGTCAGAAACTGATGATTTTTGTCATAAATGTAGAAAAGTTCATAAATTCAACTGTAAATGTTTGTCGCCTATAAATAAGTAAAGCTGCAAATCTGTGTTTTGTGTTGCTATAGATCAATGGGACATTCCAAATAAATTTTCAAGTATTTTTCTCTATTTTTTCTTATTTAAAATAGAATGACCGTATTGTTAGTCACTTGTGATAGATATTTTGACCAAACCTCAGCACAGACCTAGTCAATGTCCGGCCCGAGAGCTCACTAAGGTCGTCCAAATCCCCCCAGTATGGCCCAGTATGGCCCAGTATGGCTTGTGATGCTTCTTAAAACTATTCAAACATATACATTTTTTTATCCACCGTTGAATCTACTTTTGTGCTTGTGTTTTCAGCTTCAACTCTTGAATCTTGGGAGCATTGGTTTGAAAATATGTCAAAGCGATGTTGGTGAGGCCTTTTATTGTGTTTGGGAGGTTAAGTGCGAGACCAAACTGGGATAAAAACTGTGACACTTGTGAAACTCTGCCCCTCCAATAAATAAAAATACATATATTTGTTTCAGCGTTCTTCTTTTTGCTTTTACATCTTCTCTCAAACACCGAAGTAATTGCTTTGAAACTCACACATGAAATTAAGGCGTCTGAAATTCGACAGACGACAGAAAAATGCCTTCTGTTGAATTTCCGGACGCGCGACTCACATTTGTGTCCGATATTGTGCTTTTAACTGGATAATAACAGCTGGAGTCTGCGTACCTGTCACTTTAGCGCGCTAAGACCAAAGACCTGCGGAGTAGAGACCGCGGCACGCACCCGCTGCCCCCTGCTGCTCCTGTTTACCAAACACTCGGGCTGCACCGCGGCTAATGGACTGGCACTCAAATCAAATGTGACCCCAAGAACGCGGCGCGCATTACCAAAGACAATGGCATCATTTAGCGCGCCGCCAAATTGCCACACAACACATCTCTGTCTGTGACGACGACCACACAAAGACGCCGTGATGGGCGCGCTAATTGCCCTTCAAAATTATTCGAACGTTTTAAGGTGGAGCGTAAAACATGCGGTTGTCGACGAGCCACAGATGATATCTTTGGTCAAAACAGTGTTTGTTCAGTTCACAATGGAATGTTTCAACTAGTGGCACGAAGGACTAGTGCCACCTAGTGTTTGTGCAGTGTATTGTAGAGTGGTTGGTTTACTGAGAAGGCCGTAGCCAGTGTCAGAGGACTAGAACCAGGAAGTCCTCTCACATTAGTCCTTGGTCTCAGGTCTCTATCCTGAAGTCCTCTCACATTAGTCCTGGTCTCAGGTCTCTGTCCTGAAGTCCTCTCACATTAGTCCTTGGTCTCAGGTCTCTGTCCTGAAGTCCTCTCACATTAGTCCTGGTCCCAGGTCTCTGTCCTGAAGTCCTCTCACATTAGTCCTGGTCTCAGCTCTCTGTCCTGAAGTCCTCTCACATTAGTCCTTGGTCTCAGGTCTCTGTCCTGAAGTCCTCTCACATTAGTCCTGGTCCCAAGTCTCTGTCCTGAAGTCCTCTCACATTAGTCCTGGTCTCTGGTCTCTGTCCTGAAGTCCTCTCACATTAGTCCTGGTCCCAGGTCTCTGTCCTGAAGTCCTCTCACATTAGTCCTGGTCTCTGGTCTCTGTCCTGAAGTCCTCTCACATTAGTCCTGGTCTCAGCTCTCTGTCCTGAAGTCCTCTCACATTAGTCCTGGTCTCAGCTCTCTGTCCTGAAGTCCTCTCACATTAGTCCTGGTCTCAGCTCTCTGTCCTGAAGTCCTCTCACATTAGTCCTGATGATGATGAACATTTATCAACGTTTCTTTAAAGTGGTCATCTCACTCCCAATGGACCAATGGCTCCTATGTGTTTTTTTTAATCTAAAATATTGCATTTCCTGTGTTCAAACTTTTTGATTCTCTGATCTGTTGTTGGTGAATCCAAAACTTTGTAAAGTCCGATACATTAAATTGGTTCATAGACTAATATCCAAGTGTTTTAAGTGTTCTCATCACGTTTTGATCACGGAATCACCCAGAATCCAAACAAATACTTAAAGTGAATGTATGTAAGTTTGAAGAATTGGGGAGAGAGAGAGCACCCGTCCCCCTCCTTCTGTGGACTGGTGTTTTACCGGTGGTGGCTGTGGAGAGATACACAAATACATTTTAAGACATAATCTTGACTTGAATATTTATGTACACACCTTTTTGATACATTTATTTAACCAGGAAAATCCCATCCATATTTGAAAATGTCTTATCCAATGCACAGGATCTTGTGGTAAATAAATGTATATTACTTCATTACTGGCATCACCTAAAAATATACAGCGTAAATAGTGTTCTCTTTCTCTCCCACATGGTAACGACAGCCCTCACCGACCTCTCAGCTTGAGCCACTCCACGTCTGAGCTATGTCCACCTCAGCGTCCACCTTAAGACGCTCAGAGTGCGTGTGTGCGCGGCGTGCACAGGCCGCAGGCGGAGCACATTCGTGTCCATTTGCATGTGTTCTGGATCCTGCAGCTGAGAGCGCCTCTGCGTAATGAGCGGTTGTCACAACAGCTCAGGAGGTGTCCCCTGCGGCCAAATGACGCCCTGTCAGTCGCCGCCAAAGAGCCGCCCTGGCAACCTGTAATTCCCCTCGCAGTGCATGCTTCCTGCCCCGCGCTAAATGCCAGGTCTGAAGGAAGTAAATCTGCAAAGTTGTGTTTAATAACATGAGCGGCGCGGTGTGAGGCCTCTGCGTTTCTGTTTTGGGCTACGGTTCGAGCGGGTTAATGTTTACACGCACAAGCTCTGATCTATTCATGGCTGTATTCAGCGCGCCACCGAGCGTCCTGATCCCCGCACAGTAGAGGACGACAGCGAGGGGTGAGTGACAGGACATGTTCAATGACAAAGGACAAAAACAATGGTACCTAATTTGTTTGTACTTTGTAAAAAAAGATAAACTGGTTCACCCCCCCGGACCGGACGCAATGGCTTGACCCCCATCCGAGCCTTGGAGCCTCCTCAGTCCTGCACAGCACATTCTCAGTTCTAGATCTACAGCCTCAGTCCTGGATCTACAGCCTCAGTCCTGGATCTACAGCCTCAGTCCTGGATCTACAGCCTCAGTCCTGGATCTACAGCCTCAGTCCTGGATCTACAGCCTCAGTCCTGGATCTACAGCCTCAGTCCTGGATCTACAGCCTCGGTCCTGGATCTACAGCCTCAGTCGATGTTTTTTCTGAACATAACGACTAAAATAATGGTACCACAAGTGTGTAATTGAAGTGATTCCAATTATTAATTGTTTTAGTTGGAGTCACATTCTAGAATAGATTGATTGACATGGTTGTTTTCTTTGTCTAGTAAAGGCGAAAACTAGCTTTAAGATCAGGTACAACATGCCAGGGTTCCTCTCACATCAATGCTGCAAATTCATCATCATTGAAAGTCATTCCAGGGGCCACAAAAAGGCTCCCACAGGCTGCATTTGACCCGCAGGCCGCATTTGACCCACAGGCCGCATTTGACCCACAGGCTGCATTTGACCCACAGGCTGCATTTGACCCACAGGCTGCATTTGACCCACATGCTGCATTTGACCCACAGGCTGCATTTAACCCACAGGCCTCTTGTTTGGATGATGTCGATGTTCTCGCTGTCCTCTCCACACGAACCGTCTCCCATCCTCCTCCGGTGACGCGCTCGCACCCGATACACGCTGCACACGGACCGGAGCCGGCGCAGAAAACATTTGCCAGAAATTGTTTTGTTGAAAAGTGAAACTCCAGAATAGAGCGTCGGTCGTAATGAGTGGATTCGCGCATGGTTTGAGCCTCCTGTCTCTGCAGATGTGACGCGCCGCCATCAGCAGCTCTAAACTCACAACCCAAAGGCAAACACAGGCCGACCTGCGCGCACGCCACGCACACACCGCGCACGCCACGTACTCGGCGCACGCAGGGAAATTAGACACTCCGCATTATAATTTGTCACTGATGCATAAATCTTGCTGACGTGCTCAGTCACTCTAATGGCGCCGCGCTGCTCGGCGGAAGGCTCGGCAAACTTGCGCGGTTGCAGAAAAACAGCAAAACTATATGTTCGAACATCACCTTATTTGCATAATTTACCAAAAGCCAATGAGGCAGCTCCAGAGTGCGGCGGATAGTAATAAGTGTTTGGGAAAGGCAGAGAGATCACTAATGGTGCGCCTATGGGGATTTCTCCACGCCATGGGGGAGGAAAATGAGAAATATTTTTCAAACAGCGGGGGTAAAGGTTTTAAAACTAGGAGCACATGGGGAGATAAAGATGTTCCTGCCACAGGGTGCAGCGCGCACAAACGCAGCGGCGGCATGACAGAAAGAATGCCCCCGTAATTTGGGCATTAAGAGGTAATAATCATGTTTCACCGATGATATTAAAACCGGTAACCCGCCACGCCGCGCTCAGATGGATAAATATATAAAGAGGAGGCGGGCGCGCCGTCAGGTACAGAGGTAATGAGGTGCTCTCTCAGTGTGGGTCAGGGAGGGGCGTGTGTGTGTGTGTGTGTGCGTGTGTGTGTGTGCGTGTGTGTGCGTGTGTGTGTGTGTTTAAGTTGTGTTGAACTGGAGAGGGAGCTTCAGGGTTCGGAGCCCGTGAGGATCTTTGTTTATGATGCACAGAGAAGATTTTATTGTAAAGTACATCTACATGTTTTATCAGCATGTGCAGTGCAGTTCAATTTCTTTATTTATTTATTGAGACAAGATACAAAAGTGCATACGAACTGAAACCAAAACAGGAAGAAGCTAAAGCTCATGACAAAGTACACTTTTTCTTTTATTCATTTTTCTTTTATTTATATTTTTAATCAAAGAGTGAGTGTAAATATGAAAATAACAGACAAAAAACAGAAAAACAATACATAAAAAAATAAATAAAAAACAAAGTACACGTTTAACTTTAATATTTAAAACTCACAGCTTTACTTCAACCACAGAAAAACGTACATGGGAACACACGTTGTAATTCTTGTTTTTGAACCTCTCTCTCTGCAGACACTCTCCACTGTGAGGAAAAGTGTATTTATATGTTTTTATATTTTTCTGTTTTTATAATTCATGTTTCAAATCATTGTTGGCCTTTTCTGATGCACATGTATTTAAAAAAAAAATTAAAACTACACTGGACATGATGTTGACAGTACAGTCCAAGTTCTTACGCCGAGGATCCAATCAGAGCGCCCTCTGAGCCTTCAGGATCAGGACCAGGACCAGGACCAGGACCAGCTCAGTCTCTGTGAATCCTGTTCCTGGTATATACATCTGTTGTAAATATAGAACCACTTCATTCATCCTGTCTCTTTCATTTCCAAAATTCTAAGTCAGATTCTAAAGCACAATGACCCTGAGATTCTCTCATTATTCTGGGGTCACAGTGAAGTGTGCTTTTGCCTTTGTTCTGAGGCCAGTGTGGATCAAAGTGCACATACTTGGGTCCTTCTGATGAGGAGACAAATGGAGGTAGAAGCAGATTCCATCAGTGTTTCCGTGTCAGGCCTCACATTAGCCTGTGTCACGCACACACAGCGCAGCAGTGGTAATCACATAACCAGGACCGCAGCAGTGAACAACACTCACAAATGTGTCTGAGAACAGAGGAGCGCTGAATGTCACCCGGCGCCGCCTCAACTTCCCATGAAGAAAACGATAAGCAGAGCCGCAGACGCTGGCTCGCACTACACTGCCATAATGACATTTGGGGAGGGATAGTGTTGCAAAGCTGTTAAGCTCTTTCATTGCACCAAGAAGATTAGTGGACGAGATGGGGCTGAATGACAGCGAAGGTAGCGTCCCCAGCCTCGCCGCCAGGACTTGGCATGAGGAGGTCCGTTAAAAGCCAAGCTCACTTCACTCTCAGGACCGATTGTCCTTCAGCACAAACTGCTCTTGTGGAAACAGCCCCTCCTCGCCGCACACGCCACTCAGAGCCCTGTTTTCTTCAAGTTGCTCTTCTGTGCAGATGACTTTGAGTTGTTGTTGCATTAGTGCCAGAGCACAGAGGTTTTGGACCCGAGTCCTGAGAGGCCAGACTTAGTTTATCTGCTCACTCAAGCCTTTCCAAAGCCGAGCAGGGTCCACCCGGTCGGGCCAGTCTGCTGTGGCTCCGGACAGCTCGTCCTATTATGTGGGACAGGGCCTGCCGTGCCTCCCTCTGTCGCATTGTTCCATTATAAGCCTGCAGGGAGCTGGGGAGCGCTGCTGTTTAGTGCGGCTCCCTGAGGCTTTGGGAAACACTTGGTCCAGCTCTTGATGCTCCTCGTCGTGTTCTTCCCGCCCCCGCACACTCATTCTTATTTATTATCAGCTCTGACAGCGCGGGGAGTGGTGGAGACTTGCACAAACGGTTTGTCACTTCCTAAGTGTCTGACAGTCAGAATCAAGTTTTGCATTGAGAAGCAGAGCCACTTTTAAAGTTGCTCTGGAGAAGACGTGCTCCCACAGGGGCCCTGGCCCCGGGCCTGGGCCGAGTCTCTCAGACGTTGGAGGTAAATAAAGGCTTTGTGGACACGTCGCTGACCTCCGCAGAGCGTCTGTCTCTCCATCGCCTCATTGTGGGAGGAGTGCAGTAGTGCAGTGACAGCAGAGCTCCTCCGGGATCAAATATGGAAACCCTAGTCTGACAAGCAGAGCCCGGACCCCTCACCCTGTCAGCCCCGGACCCCCTCCCTGTGTCAGCCCTGTCAGGACCCTCTGCACTCCGCTCCACTCAGAGAGATCGATCCAGTCTTTGATCGGCTTTCATGAAGGAGGAGAAGTGAGTTTCCCTGAATCCACAGAACGACAGAATGTGTTTAAAGTCGTGAAAGTTTGTGAGTCGTGCGCTTGTGTGTGGTTTCTGCTGACACAATGATTTGTTTTTCTTTTTCAAACCTGTGAGCTGTGCACACATTTCAATAAAGAGGAAAATGAAACTTGACAGAAAATGTTTCACACAGAGCCTTGAGTCGTCAGCGTAGCTAAGACATCTTTTGGCTCAGATGTAACCCAAGTGCTTAAACAATTCAATTCAGTTCAATTTATTTGTACATAGCCCTGAAGCACAAAGATTAGTTATTTTGGAGGACTTTACAAATCTGCTAATTCGCAAACACAGATCTGAGAATCAAACACAAAAAAGGCATTGATTAAAAAAACCATAGAACCATTAGTCCATAAATGTTGTTGAAGCAATCACACATTTCAAATATCGCTGGGACTCTGAGGAGCACAGGGACTGGCCTCCTGCTGGGACTCTGAGGAGCACAGGGACTGGCCTCCTGCTGGGACTATGAGGAGCACAGGGACTGGCCTCCTGCTGGGACTTCCCTAAGGTTACACAAGAAGTAATGATGATTAAGGCAATGATCAGTCTCCAGAAAAATAAATCCGAGTCAACACAGAGAAAGCATGTAAACTTAAGAGTGTGTGTGTGTGTGTGTGTGTGTGTGTGTGTGATGTTTATGGGTGCGCACTGACAGCGCACAGACATCAGCGCTCACAGCGGGCTCTCCGGCGCGTGCCGCAACACCACCTCCCAACACCAGCCCTGAAACAGCCCATCTGCTTTGACAGGTGCTGTTTGAGATCTAACCCCACGGGGGACAACCTTGGAACTTTTTTACGCGCCTCTTTGGAATCGCACGAGAAAAAAAAAACAACGGGGAGGACGTTCTTTTGTGGAGGCATGGCACTTTGAAGAAGTCGGCTGGAGAGTGAGGAGCGCGCGGCTGATGGCGACGCTTTTTGAAAAGTTGAGCTCAAAGCCGCGGCTCCGTGCGGTGAGGGCCTCCAGAGAGAAGGGCCCTTTGTTTGTGCACTGTCACAGTAACGACACAACTGTTCGACTCTACAGACTGCAGACCATTACCACTTATTAGTATTTGGAGGCAAAGACAAGTTGTGTTTGTGACGGCGTGGGGCCTGTCAGGGAGGGGTTGGCTCGTCTTGAAGGTGTTGCCTTTGAGTCTCTCTCTATCTTTACAAAACACATCGCAACTGTGCAAATATGTGAACTTTAGATCCAGAGAGAAGGTAATGAAGAGACGTGACCCTTAAGCAGATAATAATAACAACAATAATGATAGTAATAGTAAAACATTGTACGTATAAAGCGTTTTTATGGACACTCAGAGATGCTTTACAATGAGACAAGCTAAAATGAAACTAAAATAAAAAGCTAAAATGAACAGTTTAAGGATTTTCACAAATTATAGGAAAGAACCCTCTCCACGCTTTGAAAAAAACTCTCTGATCTTATTTGACGAGCTCGTATCACCAGAATGATTGACAGTTAGGAGGACCAATAGTCTTGATGATACACGCAGAAGTAGAAAATCCTCAGAAAAACAGGCGGGTTTTGAGCAGCGATTTGAAATGAGGAAGTTCCTGTTTCAATTCAATTCAATACATTTGTGCAATGCCCAAACAGCAGCACGGTCAGCTTTGTACAGTCTCTGAGAACCGAACAAAGTTGTGGATTTGCAAACAACAGAGAATCAAACAGTTAGATCACAGAAAACGCAAAACAACGAACACAAAAGTCCAGAAATGTGAATAAATGTGTAGAAATGTCCCGGATCATCACTGTCCTTACCCCAAAGCATGCCCAAACTCAGGAAGTTGCTATTGAGGCACTTTGACAGTGTCATCCAACCAACTTCAGCTCCACCACTCACAATAAAATGCAGCTGTGGTGTGAATCAATAAGGATGTATCATAATACATTTTAAATTCCAGAATCCAGTCAATCCAGGTTTTAAATCCCGGTTTTCAGCCCCAGCTCAAGTCCGATGAACTAAAGTGGCCCTCTTACTAAAAAGTTTGGGCACCCCTCACAAACCCAGTGGGGAAATTAAGCGAGAAACCTCTGGGATGCCCATATTGAGAGGTAGATCGTTTCCCACTGAGTTCCACCAAACACCACCATCTGAAGTGAGACAAAGCAAAGTCATTCTCATCAAACTGTTTTATATAGAAAGTCCTAAAAGTCTGCATTTTCTCACAACATTTTGACTAAAGGTGACATTGGATCAGTTCCAAAGTCACGCCACACAACATCTCGAGGCACGATAACGGACCTCGGCCTACAGGTTGGAAAACACTGCTTTAGATTCTGAGTGAAGACAGCTGCAGTCTCCAGTACTAAAAATAACCTGGCTGAAAACCTGTTTTGGTCCAGACTTTACTTCCTGTGAACATCGACAATTTTTTTTGACCACTGTGTGTTTTTACATTTTTACTGATTAATGCAGAGTATTTAATTCAGGCAACAATCACAGTACGTTAAGAATAAAAATATAAAATCCCTCAGTTGTCTGTTTTTAACCTAGATTGAAACATGGTCAGAGAAGAGGACGGTCTCACATTTTCAGGGAGATTCTTGCAGATTTTAGCTGTATGAATCTGAAATGCAGCCTCCCCATGTTTAGTCCTGACTCTGGGACCAGCAGGAGTCCAGTCCCTGTGCTCCTCAGAGTCCGAGTCGGTTCATTCACGATTCCAATGCCTGGTGTCACTGTTTCTGTCTCGTTTTGTGTTATTTTTTGTTTTGAGTTTGTGTAAGAACTGTGCCATACAACCAAATAACCTCGCCTCGTTTGTGTGTTTCAACCTCACATTCTGGAAAAGGCCTTTGCGATTTTGTACCAATCGCCTAAATTCTGCCAACGACTCCAAACCTGTCCTTTTACCCACAGTTGGCTTCATTTCCCCGACAGCACATTTCGGACACAAAAAGCATCGGGCTCCGGGAGACAAATCGCGGCGCTAATAAATAACGACGCGCCGTGCACAATGACAATTACCTGCCGCATTTTTCATCCAGGCCTCAGTGACGGCGGTGACGGGGGTGAGGGAGGGGAGAGAGACGGGTGAGAGAGGGGGGGATGGAGGTGAGGCGAGGGTCTGTGACGGACGGGCCGGCGCTGCTAAGCTTTAATTACCTTGTTGTTTTTTGTCCGCTCCGCCACTCCGGCCCCTCGCGCTCAATCACCGCGCACAGCCACAGCCACGGCGCGCCCTCCAGACCCCCACCCTCCGGTAAACTCACCCCTCACCCATCACCCCCCCCCCTCCTCTCCTTCTCCCTATACTCCACGCTAATGAATAGATTAATAAACAACATTAATATCTTTTGTCCTGATTTTGTTCTCGGAGAAATGACGCCTTTTTTATTAAATCTTCGTGTCGCGGAGGCTTTGTTCGTCAGGGAAGGTTCTCCAAAAAGCATCATGTTTAATTGCCGCCGCCGCTGATTGTAGCTTGTCTTTTGGCGTGTGTGTGTGTGTGTGTGTGAGCTTGTAGGGGGTGGGGGGTTGGGGGTGCGCGCAGGGGCCGGTCCATTAGAGGCTCCTGAAGGATAATTGCTATCAGTGTAATGATCACAGTGCTTTTCATGTTCGCCTCTCCTACATCTCAAAGATACGTGCTATTAAGAGCAAGGTTGTCTATGCTCGGGCTTGGACACAGGCCAGGCCCCGTACCCCCCTCCCCTCAAACACACGCACACACAGACACGCACAAACACACGCATACACAAACTGACTGATAAAGCGGGGACATGTTTCTAATGTGCCATGATATTCTCCTCAGGGGGTGCACAAACAGTCGGTGTTTATCTCGTCCCAGGAACAGCCCCGCGCCGTCAAGGTAACGTGAGTAATGAGTGGTGGGTTGGCGGCACGAGCCTGAGCTGCACAAAGAGGCCGCGGCTTCACACGGCTCCTCAGCAGGTGACAAATACATCTGTGTGTGTGAAATGTAGCGCCGTCTGAAATACAGGTATTTAAACAGTTTTAGAAAATAAATATGTGTTATTCTAAGTAAAGCCCTGTTTTAAACTTGGCTCTGATCTCTCCATCCATGGTCTCGCACTGACTCGCTCCTGATGGAACTCTGAGGAGCACAGAGACTTTAAATGCATTGGTTTTATATAGCACTTTTCTGGGCGCGTCATACCAGGTGGTGATAAACTACTACTGTAGCCATAGCTGCCCTGGGGCACACTGACAGAAGCAAGGCTATTAGTATGTGTCACCGGCTCCTCTAACCACCACGAACCATTCACACACACCAGACTCACTCTTGGCACTTTGCAGCCAGGTGCCGCAGCCGCCCTACTCTGGCACCCGGTGTTCCCAGAGGTCTCCCATCACAGTACTAACCAGGCCCTACCCTGCTTAGCTTCAGAGGTCTGACAGGATCTGGCTTTCACATGCAGGTATGGCCACAATACATCTATTTCTGATATTGGAATGAATTTCCAACCGAGATACTGTGCCACCTTCAAAAACATGAAATCACGGTAAAGTAAACAGTCTCATTGTCATTGTCAACGTTAGGGCTAGAGTTACACATGGTAAAAACAACACATGGTAGTTCTTCTTTAAGTTCTGAGCTCTGAAAGGACAGCGGGACGGACTGGTGTCTCGCCCGGGGCCCTCATGATGTCATCTCGGCTGAGGACCCATGCCTCTGCTCCCTCTACTGCCCTCACGCTCCTTATCTGGCCTCGGCGGTGGAGGCGGAGCTCAGATGTGATTGTGTTGGATTGGAACCAGAGCGTTGGGGCCGCAGTGACTCATGCGCGCCTCTTCCGCTCAAACGTGAATCCGACAAATCGCATTTAGTCAAAGTGAAATATAATAAGTGGTCTCAGTGATGGAGAACATATTCATTTGTTTTGTCTGCGGCCTTATCTGCCGGGACGATCCGCTGCTTTTGGAGAAAAATGTAGAGCAGGCGGTCTTAAGTGCTCTGATTTACTGATTCCACCCAGATCTGGTCCGGAAACCAGGGTCGACTAATGACATCAGAGGAACGTGAAAAGTCAGTGATATGAACCCACTTGAACTGTAATGCCCACACACTCCTCAAACCTAACGTACTTATAAAAGATGTCACCCACAGTTTGATTCCATTAGTCGTTTGTCATTCATTTTGTATTAGTCCAAACTTCCTAAAAGCCCCGGTGGCCTTCAGACACCGAGGAAGACAATGGGAAATGTGTAACTTTGCCGTCAGTGCCAAACTTTTTTCTGGTATTTTCTATTGGTAGAAGTAAATGAAAGCATCAAGCCACAGAATCGTTTACTTGAGGCAAAGAGAGTACAGCGGTCGGTCACGATAACACGGCCACGCTGTTTCATGATGTATACAGCCTCAGTCCTGGATCTACAACCTCAGTCCTGGGTCTACAGTCTCAGTCCTGAGTCTACAGCCTCAGTCCTGGGTCTACAGTCTCAGTCCTGGGTCTACAACCTCAGTCCTGGGTCTACAGTCTCAGTCCTGAGTCTACAGCCTCCGTCCTGGGTCTACAGCCTCAGTCCTGGGTCTACAGCCTCAGTCCTGGGTCTACAGCCTCAGTCCTGGGTCTACAGCCTCAGTCCTGGGTCTCCAGCCTCAGTCCTGGGTCTACAGCCTCAGTCCTGGGTCTGCAGCCTCAGTCCTGAGTCTACAGCCTCAGTCCTGGGTCTACAGCCTCAGTCCTGGGTCTACAGCCTCAGTCCTGAGTCTACAGCCTCAGTCCTGGGTCTACAGCCTCAGTCCTGGGTCTACAGCCTCAGTCCTGGATATACAGCCTCAGTCCTGGGTCTACAGCCTCAGTTCTGGATCTACAGCGTCAGTCCTGGATCTACAGCCTCTGTCCTGGGTCTACAGCCTCTGTCCTGGGTCTACAGCGTCAGGCCTGGGTCTACAGCGTCAGGCCTGAGTCTAAAGCCTCTGTCCTGGATCTACAGCCTCAGTCCTGGATCTACAGCCTCAGTCCTGGATCTACAGCCTCAGTCCTGGACCCACAGCCTCGGTCTTGGATCTACAGCCTCAGTCCTGGACTCACTGCCTAGGTCTTGGATCTACAGACCAATGGCACTTATGTGTTATCGTCGCATTTCCTGTGACTGATTCTGGAAAACAAGGAAATTGGTTAAAACAAAAAAAGTGAGTAATAGCAAATACAAATAAGATTTCTGCCTCTTTCCAAAGAAACTTTCACATTTGGAGGAGAAAGTTCAGCCTATAGCACCGACATCAACACCAAAGTTAATAGTGCCCTACCCGGCTCAAAGCGGCACCCACCTGCACCCTGGGGCCCTCGGACTCATTACGGAGGCTTTTAAACCTCACTCATTACTTCCTCCACATTTAGCAATCGTATTTGTTTGTGATTATTACCAGCGATCAGGCGCCGAGCCTCCAGCGCGGAGCAGAGGCGGTTCAGGGTCACCGTCTCCACCCCAGCGCCGACCTCTGGGGTGGACGTGGGTCAACTGTGGTGAGTTTCTGTTGTTGACCCCGAGACTCGAGAAGCTGATGTGTCCGTACGATGTTGTTTGTGCTGGAGTTTCCGGCTGAAGAAGCAGAGATGAGACTCAGAACAGTTGATCTCAAACTTCTCTCACAGTTTGTTTTTACGACCTCCCGTAGAAAAAACATTGACCTTGAAGATAAACATTAGGTAAAAACTAGCCTGGTCTTGCTATACCATCGTACTCATTTCATGTTGTACTAAGGTCTGGATTTCTCTATTGAGCTTCGTTAACAGGTGGGAGGGGTTAACTCCTTTTGCAGATTGAATTGATTGGTTTTGAGTTTATCGTGACTTTTGTAATGTGCCTGACGTTAGCAATTAGCATCGCTTTAGCATTTATCCTAGCTTTAGCCACAACATCTTTGCAGCAATGACATTTACTAAACATTCCTCTTGCTCCGGCTTCAGTTTCTTGATATTTGGATTGAACCAGAACAGATTATTTTACTATCACATTCTCCGCCAAACTACAACCAGCAAATTCAGCACAAACTCTTGACGTCACCGACTCGACCTACAACACCCGCCTCCCCCGCTCTCTGATTGGTCGGAGGGGATTCAAACGAGGAAACTGCAGCCACTAGGATCAGACCCAGACGTACATGCAGGAGATGATCATGGACCAGAGTTTATAGATGGCTAATACCAGGCTAGCATGTAAGGGCACAACACGACTCCTTCAAGACACCAACTGGAGCCCGACTTCCCTCTGTCACACGTTTACAAAGAAGCAAAGTCTCGAAGCGCTCCATCTCCTCGTGCCGCTGTGTAAATGTGTCTTAATTACTGCACATATTTAGAGAGAGGAAGAGGAGGAGGAGGAGGAGAGCTGACAGAGAGCGCAGATGAAGGGCCCTCTGCCCGCGGCCCGCTAATGTTGACATTGTTAATTGATCTAATTGTGAGAATGGTACCTCTGACGCGGGACGTGTGGGATGAAAGCCTGGGCTCCGGTTCCTCTCGTTCGGGACGGAGAGTGATGCGCTCGGGGGTAATTGAGCCTAATGAACGAGCGTCCGGGGAGCTGCTCCGGTCCTGCGCCATGTGACGAAGAAGTTTGTATCTGTGATTTGCATTCCGAAATCTTTATATGCTGTTCTTTATCATTTTTTGGCATATTTAGATCCTCATTTTTTTCACACCTTAACGCTTCTAGTTCATAATAATAAAACAAATAATACATCAAACTTATATCACGATTTTTTGGACACTCAAAGACGCTACAAAACGCAGAAGAAGTATGGGGTAAGGTTGCTGTCAATGAAAAAAATGCGTTTAGAGAGGGACAAGAAACATCTCCTTATGAACACATTTTATGGAATTAATATTTCTTACACATTCATTTACGACCAAAATGATAAAATATATTTATACCTAATTTTGAGCCACGTTGTTAATGTTGTTGCCCTCTGCCATGTTTAGTTTTTTGGTATGAAGTGGATCAACTCTGCTCAGGCTCGATTGTTAATGTCTGTGAGCCGTGACGTCATATTGACAGTTTGCTCACTGCTGAAAATCTTATTCAAAAGTACGAAATCACACATACAGTTTTATACTTTCTTATTCTTAATTACAAAATTCCATGTCTTTTGAGTTTGTATTATCTTAATCATGAAATAATAAAAATTGTATGCCCAAATACCAATAAATATGCACGCATTTTTCAGACACACACCTCTTTATTGACAGTAACCTTACCCCTTAAAGAAGAAAATGGCTGAAACAGGTGGGTTTTGAGTCGGAGCTTCTGATTGGTTGGTGGGGGTGAGTTCCGGAGGGTGGGGGCGGTTACGGCGAAGGCTCGGTCCCCCAAGGTTCATGGTTTAGTCCTGAGTCCTTGTTCATGTTTTTAAATTTGTCTCTTTGTATTTTAATGTATTTTTTCTTCTGGAATGTTGTGTTTCTACTCATCCCTGGGACACGCAGAATTCTGTTTACATTTTTCTGCAGTTTTTTCGACGATGATGGAGAAAGTTTGTTTTGTGTGTGACTGTCCTGATGTTTTTTCATGTTTGTATATTTGTGAACACACATTTACAAATCTTCACCAAATGTTTTGCATAAAGAAATCTTTCTTTTTCGTTTGTGAATGTGAGACATTTGCTTTACAAATATTTTATTATTACTATTATTTTTTCAACATTCAAAAGTCCAAGCAAACCTATATTTATAAATCTACCCCGAAAAAAAAAATGTCTGGTGCACTCTGGGGTAGTCTTGCACAGTTTTTCCAATGTGGTTTTGCTGCAAATAGCAAATAAATTTTTGTATTTTGTAAGCCAAGGACGATAATATTGGGGGAAAAAAAATTACATTTAAAAACAATACATGCAGCACAGATACTGAGATGGGGAGCCGTGAATTTATGTGTGTGGAACAGTCGAATAAATACACAAAATTGACAGAATTGTAGAAAAAAAGATTAAAAAACCTACTCATAAAATGTATTTCTGTGTAGACACATCCAAATATCAGGCTTCACTGCAAAAAACGATTAGATATGAGGAAATATTTGGTTGAATCGAGTGTTTTTTTATCATAGCATTTACAACTGGCTGAGAAACCTAGCAGCTAAATACATTATTTTGTGTATTTTTAGTGCTCCCAGTCCGGTCTGTGCTGCAACACTGAAATTCCCCGCATAAAGGATTTTAAAACTTATATTTTGAGCACATTATAACTGTTTTAAAACAAGATTCTTCAATGGGACAAAGTCGTTTAGTCTGATTTCAAGAACTGTTACTTTTATTTTCTCATTCCAAGGGAGACATTTCTTCTATATTTTTAAAAACATCATTTTGTGTGTCCCATTGGCTAATCTTGTTTTAATACTTTATTTTTGAGTTTTTGCCTTTACAATTCAAGAAGAATGTCATAATTTAAAAAAAACACAAAACCTCACAAGGCAACATTTATAATGCAAAGAAAGGATAACATAAAATACAATATAAGAAAACAATTAAGGCAGAAATAAAATATATTATATTAAAAAAATAATATATATTAATATATTATAATAATACTACAAATATGGGCGGCACGGTGGCTGAGTGGATAGCACTCTCGCCTCTCAGCAAGAAGGTCCTGGGTGCTTTCTGAGTGGAGTCTGCGTAGGTTTCCTCTGGGTGCTCCGGGTTCCCCTACCACAAAAAATATGTACAATAGGTCTGGCATGTGTGTCACGGGTAAACAAGGAAGGACCCATAAGCAGAACTGCAAAAATAATATAATTTAATAAACACCACAAAAAGTATAACTGAAACCGGGAACAAGACATGGGGGAAAAATAACAATGAACCGACAACAAGAGGACAGGAGCACAGGGTCTAAATACACACAGGTAGACACAGGTGTAGCACATCAGGGAGGGGCAAACAATCAACGAGACAGACAGGAAGTAAAACTTACGACAAGAGAACAAACATATCAAAATAAAACCAGATACATCAACAGAAAGTCCACACCATGACAATGTGCCTCCTGAACTGGTGACCCCCACTTCCAAAAAAATCACAATTGTAAAATAATAATGAAAAAAAAAAAAAAAAAAGGGTATAAATTAAATATTTATATGTATACATACGCACACACGTACATATATATATATATATATATATATAAACACACACACAAATGCACACATACATACATATTCATTTTTGTAATATATATCTCCTTCATGCACATGCAGCTGTGCGTACACCCACAAAACCAATTAGCATCAGCTTCATTCTCCCATTGTCTTATTCATACATTATATGCATGTACCTATAGTTACTTATAAATAAAATGTAATAGTGGACCAGTTATACCAAATGAAAGAAAAGAAAAAGAAAAAAAGGAGTTGATGAGGAGTTCCATTGACTGAAAAATGGTTTCTTTGTTCCTTGGCAAATCTTGTTTTAATGCAGTCAAAATACGCTCCAAATAAGACACATTTAGTCAAATCTGAGCATATCCCGATTTATTTATCCTTCCTCTTTGTGTGTTCACTGTGATCAGCTCATCTTCAGGTTCTCAGGTGGCTTCCAGACTCGACAAACACAACACAAAAACACACTTCTTGGAGCTCTCTCGGTTTTCTAGAGGTGTCATCTCCATAATCTTAGTTTGTAATAATCCCGTGCAATTACCCCGCCACCACAACAACAACTCCAACCATCAGCATCTCAGGAGCAGATAAGGCCTCAGTTCAAAGCGGCGACGGCGGGATTATCCGGTCCGGACCCGAGATGCGGGGCCCCTTGCTCGCCGTACGAAGGGGCCCGGTTCTCCGAGGGCCCCGCGCGCAGATAAGAGAATTACCAAACAACAAGCGGTGTTTACGAGAGGCGCTTTAGGCGACTCGATCGAGCTGATATCGCCGGCGGGCTGAAGGCGGGAGAGCGGAGGAGGCGGGTCTTGTTTGAAGGAGAAGGTCAGGGACGATAGGGCTGAGGCTGAGGACCAGACCCGTGGGCATGCAGGGGACATCCAAAACGAGGCCCCCCTGAACCCGGTTTTTGAAGACCCCTGCGTCATGGTGTGGCTTTGTATGCTGCTCCATTGTATTGTCTTTGTCTTTGTTCCTGGTTCCGTTTTGGATTTAGAGTTTCATTTTCACCCGGACATTTTATTTAACATCATAATTAAAACCTTATCTTTGACATTCTTGCTGTTTGAGTCCTCCATCACTTTACCACATGACGCCCCTCATGACCGGCACTTTATGCTACTATCACTTTAACTGCACTGCTGAATGCAAAGTTAGTAGTCATCTTCATGTATTTACTGTATGTAGCGCAAATTTTTGTAGAGCAAGGTCCCCCAAAGTGCTTTACAATGTTCAGAGTTCAGATGTTGTCTCATTCTCTCCACACACGGCAATGACGGAAGCGAGACGCCGAACACACTGGTCCATCAAAGCCTCCGACCCAACACCGTCCAGTCACTCACTCATTACATTCAGACCTTTTGTGAATGTTTTTAGTGGTAGGGGAAACTGGAGCACCGAGAAGAAACCTACAAAGACACAGGCAGAACATGCAAACTCCACCCAGAAAGGCCCTGCTCCGACCGGGATTTGAACCCAGGAACTCACTTACTTATTTAATATTTGTAAGTAAAGGAAACGGTCACATAATTGCAAAATAAAGTGTCCAGTTTTGAGTTTGCTTCCAAGTTTGTTGTGTGGATTAATAATTAGATAATATTGTGAGAATAGAATAATCTGGATATAGGCGCTCAGGAATATACATATCTGTGAATATGTGCACATTTACAGTATAAACTGGCCTTTGAGCCTGAAGGTTGTGGGTTCGAGCCCACCACGGGACCTTCCACCGACTCCCACTGACGTCTGCTGTTGTTGTGTCCTTAGGCAACACACTTCACCCCCATAGCCTAGAATGAGTCTGGTGTGTGTGTGAATGGTTGGTGGTGGCTGGAGGGGCCGATGGCACAGACTGGTGGCCTCACTTCTGTCAGTGTGCCCCAGGGCAGCTGTGGCTACAGTAGTTTATCACCACCGTGTCTGGAGTGAATGCATAATGACATGTCACTTAATAACAGGTGACACTTTTTAAATGTTTTTTAATCTGTTTTATTTTTTTTTATGTATAAGTGTTTTAAATGGATTTTATGTAATTTTATTGTGAAGCACTTTGGTCGCCTTGAGTGTTGTAAAGGGCCCTATAAATGAAATTGATTGATTGATTGATTGATGTGAAGCGTCTTTGAGTGTCCAAAAAAGAAGCTGATGCATTTTTATTATTATAAAATACAGAGATACTTTACAATATTCAGAAATCAGATATTGTTCCATTCTCTCCCCATAGTAGGACATTTTAAATCTGAACATTGGTCTGTAAAACGCGCTATATAGATAAACATGACTTACTTACAGGACCACCAGGCTCCTCCCTCCCCGGCCCCTGTGCTGTATAGACACACACAACAAACTTGGAAGCAAACTTAAAACTGCACTTTTTTTGTAGCAATTATCTTAAAGTTTACTTCAAAATCAAAACCCCAAAATGTCGCCGTGGCAACCCTCTCCACCTGACCGCACCTCGGCTCTTGACCGCGCCATGACCCGCCCGCCACGGCTCTTCAGGCATCCACCAAAACAACAAAAGCCTTTTTTTTGTTTTTTCTTTTTTTCTACAGCGCCTTTCTTCTTCTCCTCTCTGCGTTCCCTCCATCATGTTGATAAATCTGGAGGAATCTCAATTAGGCGCGGGGCCTGAGCGCACGTATTCAAATGTGGTCAAGAATCTAATTAGCTGGAGGTAATTAAAGAGTGGCGCGCAGGTCGTTAATCTTTCGTTGGACCTTTGATGTTTCGCATACTGTCTTGCGAGTCATTAATAAAATTCATAACGCTTTTCCTTTGTGCTGTTTTATCACTGCGCGCTCCCCAACCCCGTCCCCCCCGCCTCCTTGCGCCTCCCCAGACAGTTCCAGTGTGGCGTCAACACATCTCGGCACTTCGCTCACTTTGGCCGCGCGCTACACACAAACTTGCGGCAGGACCTTGACCCCTCCCGCTTTTTAAAATGTATGTATTATTTTTTTTGAGAGCACAATTACGTCGGCAGATCAAATGAATTTCTTGCGCCTCGTTTGGAGCGTGACGCGCCGGGGTGCGTCGGTGTGCGCTGGAGTGCGCTGGAGTGCGGCCGCGGCTCTACAGTGTGCGCGCGGAGAGGCCATTGTGTCGTGGTAATGAAAGTCGCTCAAGGCGCGCCGTTGTTGTCGAACGTGTAAATACAGAATGGGATAAAAGATACGTCCCCATAAGCGCGCCGCCACAAAAGCTTTCAGAGAAAAATAATAATCTGTGATATTAACTTGAAACTTCATAAACTTGTAACATAACTTTGTATCGTACTTTGGATTTAAAGCTGGTGTCGTTTCAGTTGTGATTCGTCGTTAAAACATCTCTTTGTTTTTCACACGTTTGCAGTAATAGAATTGGTCCCTGATGACGCTCTGTGGGATTCTCTTGAGGATTCGGTCGTTTATTTGACGGTTAAATCAAATAATTAAGAATGTTGGACAGTTTGTTGGATGGGTGCCATGAGGAAGGATCTCTGTAGCAGCGGCTTCACCTCGGTCCTCAAAGCAAACTTCTGTGGTTGTAGCATGGTGGTTCGCGCTCTCGCTTCTCAACAGAAGGTCCAGGGTTGGAATCCCGATCAGAACAGGTCCTTTCTGAGTGACGTTTTCATGTTTGCGTAGGTTTCCTCCAGGTGCTCCGTTTCCTCTACACTAGAAACATGTTCAATAGGTCAAACCCTGCAGCTCTGGAACATTAACCACTACAAGTACCTGATACTACGGCGACCCCAGCTCCTGACAGGATGGGTCAAATGCAGAGGACACATTTCCCGTGGACGTTAAAGTAAAACTACGATGAATATTTTGAAAGAAAAGGAGAAAAGAGCCAGAACTAGTTCCATTAAATTGAATCCAGCCTCCTGGGATTACAGACGAACATGAGCCTTTGGCTACAATCTGCCGTGTTTACAATGTGTTTAACATATGTTGAACATACTGTACATGTTCATGACATGTGCTGTGCCAGTCAAATAAAAACACACATAGAAACACACACAGCCGCAGCTGAAGCAACGGTTCAGACGTAACCCTAACCCTACTTACTTTATAGATCTGAAATGTTAGAGTTGTTATAGATATGAAATGTTAGAGTTGTTATAGATCTGAAATGTTAGAGGTGTTATAGATCTGAAATGTTAGAGTTGTTATAGATCTAAAATGTTAGAGTTGTTATAGATCTGAAATGTTAGAGTTGTTATAGATCTGAAATGTTAGAGTTGTTATAGATCTGAAATGTTAGAGTTGTTATAGATCTGAAATGTTAGAGTTGTTATAGATCTGAAATGTTAGAGTTGTTGAGTTTTAGATTATAGATCTAAAATGTTAGAGTTGTTATAGATCTAAAATGTTTAGAGATGTTATAGATCTGAAATGTTAGAGTTGTTATAGATCTGAAATGTTACAGTGACGCCGTCTAGAAAGTATGTTAATTGGTGCGCACACAGCACCGTCTTACAGTTCCACACGACGTGCCTGGCACAATAAGCTGTTTAACTCCGGTTAGGCCTCAGGTCGCTTCCCTGATCCTCATGTCATTTCCTCACTGTTCTGCTTTTTTAGCTCTCAAATTCAGTCTCTCATGGTTACGTCATCCGTGTTGCACCGCTGTGTCGCACACGTCGGGCGCCGTGTCGGTACCTGGCTGTGCACAAAACAGAACCAGGCCGCAGCTTTTTATCATGAGTGCCATGTGCTGAATCGTGGGGGAGAGTGTTGGAGGTGGGGATCGGGGGCGCGGTGTCGGGAGAGTAGTGTGTGCAATTATGGCAAATGTGCGCTCTCTGACACAAACTTGGAGGCTGCTAGCGGCGGGAGCAGCGGTGCGGCCTCTACCTCCCAGGCCCGGCGTTCTGTCGCCTCATGCCTCATGCTGCGCCGCGAGATTACCGTTAAGCACTTACGAGCATTGGTATCGCCCCCCTCCTTCAGTCGGCCGCGTTTTATTCAGGTGTGAGAGATACCTCAAACAATCCATCCGTCCCCCCCTCTCCCCCACGCCGTCCCTTCCGTGCCCCCCCCGTCACCACCGCTCGCCCGCGTCTGCCTCCAAGGACCAGCCGCCCTTATGCACTGTGCGCCTGTTTATAAATTTAGCCCCACGCACCGTCAGTTTCACTATAAAAGCATGCACGCATGTACAGCGCTTCAGGGAGGAGGGGCGAGGGGGGTTACAGGGTACAAGGGGTGAGAGGCGACGTACTGGGGGGGTGGGGGGGGAGGATCAAACGAGAGCAAGTTCTGGCACGAATCAAAGGTACAGGAAGACGTGCAGAATGTCATAGTTTAGAACACGGTGGGAAAGAGATGTGAGGGAGCTTGCTTAGTCACATAACAATGTATGAGGTCATGTCCTGAGTGTCCGCAGGCGTCGGTACCTTCTGCGTACTAACGACAAACAAAGGGGTGCAGAGGGGGGACAGTAGAGCTGGGGGCGCAGAGAGTGCTTTTGGAGATAAGTCGACTTGGCATAAGTACAACGGACCAATAGTAGATTTCAGGAAGGGGTAAGGTAATAGAGTGAGGAAGTGTGGACAAAGTGCTGTATGGTTGTTATGCATTTGAACCCCAGAAATCACCACACAATTTAGTAAATCAGGAAACACAAATACTAATTCATATGTTTCCGGTAACATTTATTTAAAATATTGTGAAACTGACGATTAAATGGTACTGACATGGCCACCCACCCGCACATGGCACACACACACACACACACACTCTATCACGATCAACAAGATATGAAGAGAGAGCACACACACAACATACCATAAACCACACACAACCAACACACTACACTGTTGTATAAGTCTGTATTTGGGTCTTGTATATACGTGTACCAATGTGTGTGTGTCCGCGTTGTGTGTCCTTGCTATGAGCACACACACGAGGTGAGAACCGTGCATTGAACACATAAACCACTTCGCTCGTCCAGGAGCGAGACGTTGTGATCGTCAAACCTAAACCCGCTCTCGGTTTCTCGTTCACAGTCCCTTCTGTGGCGAGTTGTTTGCGAGCACCTTCGAAGCTGCGGCAGGGACAACACTCGTTTGTGGATAATGCACTTTTAGGTGCTTGTGGGCCACCGTATGGGTGTAGTAGCGTCCCGCCTGGACGGGCCCGGTGGCGGTTGTTCGAGGTTGCGCCAGCAGCCGCAGGTATTTTCGGTGTTTTTGTTTGGCGTCCCGATGTGTAGCGACTGGAGAATAGGATCTGTGTCTTTGTTTTAGAGGCTCCTGCCTCGCTATAATTAAACCTGCTCTTAACAATAGCGCTAATGAGGACTCGGCGCGGCGGGGCACAAAGGGGGCTGACTTTAGTGGAAGGGGCTGACGCAGGGGAGGGGCGGAGCCTCCAGCAGACGCACATCTGCACAGGTTCGAAATACAATAGGGACGATGAGTGACGAGTGTGTTGCTTGGCTACAGCCAGGTGCCAGGGGGAAACAGATTAATGTGATATCACAACGTGAAGTGAAAGCTAGGATTACCTCCAGTTTTGTGTCAGAAATAATATTCAATACTGATTTTGTACCAACTGAATAAAGTTATTTAAGAAGTAAATTGTTTCATCGTTATTAGAACACTTTTGATCTGATGTGTATGTGCAAGAGCCTTTGAGGCACTTTCTGAGCTTTTGGGGGAGAGAGTGATTGGCAGAGGTGGGTTGGGCTGCAAAAATGGTATGAAAGTTTCATTTTGAATTCAAGTAATAACTTTCTTTTTTCAAAAACAATACATATGCTGATTGGAACAATCAAGACATTTCAAAAATTTAACTTCAAATTAGGCTTCAAGAATGAAGTCCATATCAGTGTCACCTATTTCTTTACTTCTTTGGTGGGGGAGTCGTTAGCGCTTGCCAAATGTGCGCTGTCTCTCCTTTTCTCTCACTCGTCTGAAAAAGCGAGCGTGTGAAGATGTGACAGAGGCCGAAAATACATGAAGACCGGTGAGTCGCTGAAAAAATGTTTTAGAGCCAGGACTAGAGACATGGGTGTTTTTATCGCAAAGATAGCTGAATTTATATATGGTCGAAAAAAGTTAGGTAGGAGGTGTAGAGCATAGGAGAGAGCAGAAGAGCGACGATTGTTGAGTTCTATGCAGACGAGACGAGAGTGTTGAGTATCGAAGAGAGAGAGAGAGTTGAGATGAGCAGAGAGAGGGCGATATAGATAAACTGTCACAAACACACAAAGTAGAGATGTAAGAGAGAGCAGACAGAGAGATGAGACGAGCTCGAGAGAGAGAGCTGAGGAGAGAGAGAGAGAGTAGAGAGAGAGAGAGCAGAAGAGAGGCATGTTAGATAAACAGCACAAACACGCAAGAGAGGAGAGAGTAAGATGAGAATCCACACACAGAGAGAGAGAGAGAGAGAGAGAGGAGAGACGAGCAGAGAGAGAGAGGGTGAGGGAGAGGAGATGCGCAAAGAGAGGTAGAGAGTAGAGGGAGCAGAAACAGAGCAGAACAGGAGCAGAGAGAGAAGAGTGGAGGCAAAGTGAGGAAAGATATCTCAGGAAAGATCCAGAGAAAGAGAGAGTGAAAGTGCAGTGAGAGAGAAGGTGTGAGGCCATCATTCCAAATCTCATTACGGTTTACGTGTCAGCGTGTGTGAAAGCCCCAACGCTTTAAACTTTAAACTTGGTGAAGAAACTGTGTCGGTCGTCGCACAAAGCCCTGTGAGGAGATTCTTTTTATTGCCTCGGTAAAATGTAAAGGTGAAACCGGTTGCATGCATTACTCGCCCCTTTGGTCTACAGTGATCTTTCAGCCGCCAGCGGGGGCCAAGCCATCGCGCGCATTCAACCGCATTATTCACCGACCATTGTGC